CGGGGAGGGCAGGGGCGTGACGAGGCTCATTCTGACTCCATTCCTTTCTCTTACAGAAGATGCAGAGCTGGTACAGTGTAAGTATCGGGGCAGGGGGCCTTGCTGGAAGGATGAGAGGGAGGGGGACAGGTGCTGGGCCAGGGGCCCCTGGCTGCAGTAGTCACGGAGTGGGTGCTGGGGTCAGCAGACCTGGGGGTCACATCCTATGCTGCTACTTACATGCTCTGTGACCTTGAGTGAGTTGCTTAACCTCTCTGGGTTTCTCGCTCCTTGAGAAACAGTTCTGACCGTACTAGACTGAAGGGAACATTCACTGAGAGTCGGTGATACTGGTGGGTACGTGGTACAGGACCTGGCTTAGGTAGCAATCAGTAAATGGCTCTCGTTATGGTTACTCTTGTGTTAACAGGCAGTAGGAGCCAGAGGTGAGCTAGACACTGAAGCCTCAGAGAGGCTCCTCCCAGGCTGAGGAGACTGAGGGGTGCTGGGAGCTTTGGGGGACAGAATTAGGGGTGTGGCCCCCTGTCCCAGTTCTCACCTCCCAGACTTCTCCCAGATGCTGAGCCCCACGTACAAGCAGCGGAATGAGGACTTCCGTAAACTGTTCAGCAAGCTCCCTGAAGCTGAACGCCTCATTGTGGGTGAGTCCCTGCCAGCCAGACCCGGGGCTCCCAGCTCTGCCCTCCTGACCCTCCCGCGTGTGGCGGCCCAGCGGCCAGGACGGCCGTGTGACTCGGGTGTCTGCCCGTCTCTCCCCTCGGCCGCCTCAGATTACTCCTGTGCCTTGCAGCGCGAGATCCTCCTGCAGGGCCGCCTCTACCTGTCCGAGAACTGGATCTGCTTCTACAGCAACATCTTCCGCTGGGAGACAACAGTGAGCTGACCGGCCTGGGACGAGGAGGGGCCCCAGGGCGGGCAGGGCCCTGCCCCTTCCGACCTGTCTTTTGTCCTCAGATTTCCATCCAGTTGAAGGAAGTGACGTGTCTGAAGAAGGAAAAGACGGCCAAGTTGATCCCCAACGCCATCCAGATCTGCACGGAGAATGAGAAGGTGAGCGAGAGGACCAGCAGACAGGGGCCCCGGGGTCCCCGATCTTCACCGGCTCCTCTGTCCTCCCCACCACCCAGAGCCCTGTTGACTCAGCACCCGGCTTCTCTCATCTTCCCTTTCTCTTTATTCTCCCGGCCCCAGCATGGGCTCCTGTAGTCTCTGACCCGGACTCCTGCACCTGCTCCTGTCTCAGGCCCTGCAGTCTGTCCCCTGACACAGCTGTTCAGGGATAGTATTAACAGAAAAATTCTGTCAGCTCAGAGGCTTCCTCCACCGGGAAGCCTTCCCTGATGCTCCATGTATCATGATTGTTGCCTCAGGGTCCATCCAAGAGGGCTGCCTCACACCAGTGGCCCAGATGGGACTGGAGAAGGAAATGGGGCGGGAAGACTTCAAGCAGACTTCCCTTTGTGTTTACTTGGCCAAAAGGGGATCCGTTGGCCACCCACTGCGGGCATAGGAGACTGGGAATGTGCCTTGGGCTTCCCCCAAGCAGCCCAGCCAGTTTGGGCTGTGAGCCCTGGACTGTGAGCCCTGGGGCCAGGGCCGGGGGCCATCTCCTCATCGTGGTGACTCCAGGGTCATCCATTGCTGGGCTGGGCACAGGACAGATATTCTGTGGAATGAGTGAAGGGATGAATGATTACATACATCAGCATGGAGAGCCGGGAACAGGGTGCAGCGGGTGGAGCTTCCTCCTCCCTCCAGCCTTGTCTCTCCCCCAGGGCTCACACCCCTCTCTCTTCTGCAGCATTTCTTCACCTCCTTTGGGGCCCGAGATCGCTGCTTCCTCCTCATCTTCCGTCTCTGGCAGAACGCACTGCTTGAAAAGGTGGGCCTGGGCGAATCCTGGGCAGGGGGGCTAGGGGGAGGGCTGGGGTGGGGGGACCATGGAGCCAGGGATGCCAGGACTTGGGGAACTGGAGGACCCCTCCAGCTCTTCTCCATGGGCACCAGACCCAATGTGCCTGTAGCTCTTCCATAGGCCCCCGCAGGGGGCCCGCCACGGGCTCCGGTGCCACGCCCTGCCCATGAGAAATGCGTACTCACAACCGCTTAGTCACCACCTGCAAATCAAAAATGCTCCGAAGACGGGGAGGTTTTTGGTAAAGCAAAACCTGACTTGAGCTGACATGGCTTGCAGTCCCTATCAGCACTGTCTAACAGAGTTTTGTGCTGTGCTGTCGGTATGGTAGCCACTGGCCACACGTGCCTGTTGAACTCTTGAAACGTGGCTAGTGTGACTGAGGATCTGCATTTTTAATTTAATTTCAGTTTTAATTAATTTAAACTTAAAACACCACGTGTGCTTCTTGTATAACACAGGTCTGTATTTATCTCAATTAATGGGACTTTTCTTTTTTTTTTTCGTTTTAACATCTTTATTGGAGTATAATTGCTTTACAATGGTATGTTAGTTTCAGCTTTACAACAAAATGAATCAGTTATATATATACATATGTTCCCATATCTCTTCCCGCTTGCGTCTCCCTCCCTCCCACCCTCCCTATCCCACCCCTCCAGGCGGTCACAAAGCACCGAGCTGATCTCCCTGTGCTATGCGGCTGCTTCCCACTAGCTATCTACCTTATGTTTGGTAGTGTATATATGTCCATGCCTCTCTCTCGCTTTGTCACAGTTTACCCTTCCCCCTCCCCATATTCTCAAGTCCATTCTCTAGTAAGTCTGTGTCTTTATTCCTGTTTCACCCCTAGGTTCTTCATGACATTTTTTTTTTCTTAAATTCCATATATGTGTTAGCATACGGTATTTGTCTCTCTCTTTCTGACTGACTTCACTCTGTGTGACAGACTCTAGGTCTAGCCACCTCATTACAAATAGCTCAATTTCGTTTCTTTTTATGGCTGAGTAATATTCCATTGTATATATGTGCCACATCTTCTTTATCCATTCATCTGATGATGGACACCTAGGTTGTTTCCATCTCTGGGCTATTGTAAATAGAGCTGCAATGAACATCTTGGTACATGATTCTTTTTGAATTATGGTTTTCTCAGGGTATATGCCTGGTAGTGGGATTGCTGGGTCATATGGTAGTTCTATTTGTAGTTTTTTAAGGAACCTCCATACTGTTCTCCACAGTGGCTGTATCAATTTACATTCCCACCAACAGTGTAAGAGGGTTCCCTTTTCTCCACACCCTCTCCAGCATTTATTGTTTCTAGATTTTTTGATGATGGCCATTCTGACTGGTGTGAGCTGATATCTCATTGTAGTTTTGATTTGCATTTCTCTAATGATTAGTGATGTTGAGCATTCTTTCATGTGTTTGTTGGCAGTCTGTATATCTTCTTTGGAGAAATGTCTATTTAGGTCTTCTGCCCATTTTTGGATTGGGTTGTTTGTTTTTTTGTTATTGAGCTGCATGAGCTGCTTGTAAATTTTGGAGATTAATCCTTTGTCAGTTGCTTCATTTGCAAATATTTTCTCCCATTCTGAGGGTTGTCTTTTGGTCTTGTTTATGGTTTCATTTGCTGTGCAGAAGCTTTTAAGTTTCATTAGGTCCCATTTGTTTATTTTTGTTTTCATTTCCATTTCTCTAGGAGGTGGGTCAAAAAGAAAAGGGACCTTGCTGTGATTTATGTCATAGAGTGTCCTGCCTGTGTTTTCCTCTAAGAGTTTGATAGTTTCTGGCCTTACATTTAATCCATTTTGAGCTTATTTTTGTGTATGGCGTTAGGGAGTGATCTAATCTCATACTTTTACATGTAGCTGTCCCGTTTTCCCAGCACCACTTATTGAAGAGGCTGTCCTTTCTCCACTGTACATTCCTGCCTCCTTTATCAAAGATAAGGTGACCATATGTGCGTGGGTTTATCTCTGGGCTTTCTATCCTGTTCCATTGATCTATCTTTCTGTTTTTGTGCCAGTACCATACTGTCTTGATTACTGTAGCTTTGTAGTATAGTCTGAAGTCAGGAAAACTGATTCCTCTAGCTCCGTTTTTCGTTCTCAAGATTGCTTTGGCTATTCAGGGTCTTTTGTGTTTCCATACAAATTGTGAAATTTTTTGTTGTAGTTCTGTGAAAAATGCCAGTGGTAGTTTGATAGGGATTGCATTGAATCTGTAGATTGCTTTGGGTAGTAGAGTCATTTTCACAATGTTGATTCTTCCAATCCAAGAACATGGTATATCTCTCCATCTATTTGTATCATCTTTAATCTCTTTCATCAGTGTCTTATAATTTTCTGCATACACGTCTTTTGTCTCCTTAGGTAGGCTTATTCCTAGATATTTTATTCTTTTTGTTGCAATGGTAAATGGGAGTGTTTTCTTCATTTCACTTTCAGATTTTTCATCATTAGTGTATAGGAATGCAAGAGATTTCTGTGCATTAATTTTTTTTTTACAAGTTATCTCATTATTGCATTTATTTGTCAGATACAAGTTCACACTCTTATATTGCTGTAGACTATTTCTACTATGTTTAGTATCATAAATTCACTACCCTAAATTTTCTCCCCTTCTTCATTGATGTTACCTGTTAAAAAACATACTTTAAATGTTTGAGGACCAAAAAATAATAATGTGAATGACTGGGGTAAATCTTAAATATAGTTGTGACTCAGTATAATATTATAGTATCCAGTACAGAATATACCAGTGATTCTCAAACTCTGTAGTTTCAGGAATCCTTTGCACTCTTTAAAATAATTATAGACTCCAAAGAGCTTCTGTTTAAGTAGAGTATATCTATCAATATTTACTGTATTAGAAATTGAAACTGGGAAAAATTTTTTTAAAGTGTTCAAAGTTTGAGAAAGGAACAGAAGAAGGGCAGGTTTGGGAGAGGTAGTGGTGCAGTGGGTCAGTGGGAAGGCCTCCCACAGAGAGAGAGTTTTTCAGTGTGTCTTTTTTATTTCTTTAATTTCTTGGCCTCGCTGCGTGGCATGTGGCATCTTAGTTCCCCAACCAGGGATCGAACCCGCGCCCCACTGCAGTGGAAGCACAGAGTCTTAACCACTGGACCACCAGGGAAGTCCCGAAACTGGGAAATTTTTAAACACAAAATACACAAACACGCATTACATTAGCCACCAGAACAATGATAAGATCACATAGTCTCTGGAAAACTCCACTGTACACTCATGAGAGAATAAAAGTGAAAAAGGCAAGTGATATACTACTAGTAACACTTACCATACTTATGAAAATAATTTTGCCCTCATGGATTCCCTAAAAGCGTCTAGGGGATGCCCAGAAATCCTTGGACCACGCTTTGAGAACCCCTGGTATACACTGTACTTACTGGATCCTAAATGTAGATATTTTTAGTGCTGTATTATAGTATAGGCAGTGTATTATCTTTCTTAAATCCCCAAATTTCTTAATTTTGAATCAAGTCTTACCCCAAAGATTTTGAGTAAGGGATTTCAGACTTTTACTTTTCACATTCTGATAGTCTATTATGGGCTAGCCCTGAGTGGGCTCTCCTGGAATGCCCACTGTGATTGCATGAGTGTATGTAGCATGCATTCAGCTGCAAGTAGCTGAAAACCCAACCAGACAATGGTTTAAACAAACAGACACTGAATTACTTCAGATGATAATAATAATAGCTAACACTTAACAGAGCTATTGGGTGCAAGGGACTGTTCTGAGCTCTCCATGAATTAACTTATTTAATCATCACAGCCACCCTTCAAGGCAGTGTGGTTAGTATCTTTATTCCACCAGTGAAGCACAGAGGGAAAGCCTTGCCTATGGGCACATATGCTTTTCTGTGGCAGAGCTGGGATTCTGACCCATTACAGTCAGGCTCTGGAGTCCACTTAATCACACGGATGCCCATGTAACAAGAGGTCTGGAGGCAGGCAATCCAGGGTAGAGTTGAGGGCTCCCTGTGTCATCTAGGACCCAAGCTCTTGTCTGTTATTCCACACCATCGTCCCTCTGCATATTGATGTTTTGTCCACATGCTTGTTGCCTCATGGTTGCAGGTGGCTGCTACAGCTCCAAGTGTCATGCCCTCAGTTAAGTGTCCCAAACATGAAAGAAGAAAGGGATGGATGGAAAGTGGGCATTCCTTTATCAGGGAGGGAAGGCCTCCTTTAGCAGACTTTTCCTTGTATTTCTTTGGCTAAGACTTGGTCACATGATCACCCTTGGTTGCACAGGAAGCTGGGTATGTGGCAAAGGAAAAATGAGTTGATACAAGCGAGTTATAATTCCCTGGGGCTGGGGAAGATTTTCACCCCAAACAAATCAGGGTTCTGCTGGCAGGAAGGGAGGGTGGATAGATGTCAGGTAGGCATCACACAGTGTCTGCTACTGCTGGCTTGTAGCACCTCAGAAGGCCCCAACCCACTCCTCCAGCAGGGCTGCACTCACTTCCTGTCGTCAGGGGCAGCTCCAGCTATGGCCATCCTCAGGGGCGAGAGCACTGCAGCAGGAGCCCGAGGGAGGGACAGTGTAGTGTCAAAGTCTCCAAGGAGGACAAGGGCAGCCAGACTGTTGGGGATGGAGTTCAGCCCCGTCACCGAGTGCGAGTCACTGAACCCCATTGGTCCGATGGGGACTGTCCCTCCTTCACAGCACCCGAGCTGGGCCTAGAGTAGAGCTTGGAAATGTCAGCTCGTGGGAGGCAGTGCAGTCCAGTGGTTAGCTCCAGGGCTAGACCAGCCCCCTGGGATCACATCTCAACACGGCCACTTCCTAATTGGATGACATTACCCACCTCTGTGCCTCAGCGTCATTATCTTAAAATGATGACAATGTTAGCACCTACTTTACAGAATGGTTTTGAAGACTTGTTGAGTTAGCATGCATAAAGGGTTAGAAGAATGCCTGGCACATGCTAACAACTCAGTGGATGTCAGTTGCTGCTACTGCTACTATTATTACTATTAGATCTCATCAGCATCATCCAGCCACTCCAGCCATGGGTAGCTTCTGAGGACACCTGGGAAAGTAGTTGGGGGCAGGACAGCATGGCAGGTGGGAGCATTGGCTCTGGAGTCTGGCTGGGTTTGAACCCCCGAGATGACCTCAAGCACGAGTTCTCCATCCTGGGCCTGATATTCTCTGTAAAACTGGGAACTTTAACCTGTAGCTGTGGAAGTATTGTGAGGACCTAAGGGAGAATTCCTGAGCACACTGGCTCCTATGTGATGGGGTGCGGAGTGAGATTGGTAGAGGTCTGGGATGGGAGGTCATGCTCCCCCTTGTGGACACCAGGGGAACTGCTGAGGCTGAGGGCTGGTGGGCGCGGGTGGAAGGGCTCTGGCCCTGATAAGGTGGAGGCCAACCTAACGTCCTGCCTGCCCAGACGCTGAGTCCCAGAGAGCTCTGGCACCTGGTGCATCAGTGCTACGGCTCAGAGCTGGGCCTCACCAGCGAGGATGAAGACTATGTCTGCCCCTTGCAGCTGAATGGTCTAGGGTGAGTCGGTGGCTGGAGGCTGGTTCTGGGGGTTGGGAGGAGACAGCAGGGGCTGCATTGCAGAGCTCCTGGAGTCCTGGGTGGACTGAGGCAGGGGTACAAAGTCTGGGAGACCAGGAGGGTGTGTGGGGTCTCAAAGATGCAGCGGTCTCACTCCCTCTCTCTGTAGGAGCCCCAAGGAAGTGGGAGATGTAATCGCCCTGAGCGACATCACCTCCTCAGGGGCAGCTGACCACAGCCAGGAGCCAAGCCCGGCAGGTTTGCGCCGTGGCCACATCACCCCCAGCCTTTCCCGGGCCAGCAGTGACGCAGACCACGGGGTGAGCGGGCATGTGGAGGAGCGAGGAGGGTGCTGGGTGGTGCCGGGGAGAGAGAGGGACAGACTGACAGATTGAGGGGGGCAGGGGGGGAATGTACAGAGAAGAGGTGGATGGAGGGGTAAGTGAGGGGATGGATGGAGGGATGGGTTGGAGCTGGGAAGATGGGCAAGGAGACTAGGTACAGGTAGGGGAAGAGAGAGAC